CTGTCATAGTTATATGTTTTGCACTATCCCCTTGCAAAGGTCCATACAAATCTTTGCAATACAAGAGATCTTTCATTCTTGGTTTCCATATCATCCAATTATTTCCATTCAAACTAATCATGCGAGAAACATTACTGGCCTCCATGTTCAAATATAAAAATTAAATCACCAAAACCCCGCTCTGATATCAATTGATGGGGATATAAACAGGAATAACCTTTGTATAGGAACAAATACTAGAAGACCAAAATACGCAGCGGAATAAAATGGAAACACAATCAAACAGAACACCAAGATATACGTGGAAAACCCCTTCAATGTGAAGGGTAAAAACCACGGGGCAAACTAGAGATAATCCACTATGAGAATAATGAATGTACAAATCTCAATCTCTTGCTCAAAACCCTAGCAACAACCACAAGAGAATAACTGGGATACAAGGATCACGTCACTGCCCACAATATCTAAAACCTCCCAAGTAATCACAGCAAGCGCCTACTGTAGATTTGATCTAACCTGAGATGAGAACACTGCTAGATGATTGAGAACAGTCTCTCTGCGTTGTCCTTGTCTTCTTCCCTTTCTTTCTCTTCCTTTTCTGCCTTGTTCTCCTTCTTCTCTTTGGAATCTCGTCGCTCCAAAGATCTGCCTCGTTGCTGCCGTTTTATAGCCTTAATCTGCCTCTAAAACGCAGTCACCACACCCCCTAATCTTAATTAGGGTTAGGTTAAGAGGAGGTGTGAGCTGATAAAGCCCACATGGGCTGAATATGGGCCATCAGCCCAACAGTTTCAACACCTGCTTTTCGAGTTATAATTTTTTCCAGCCCTTTATGTCAGATATTGTGCCATCTCTAATAAATTGATCCTATCATTTTTGTGCATAACTGCATATAATAACTCATGAGACAAAGACAAGTTGTAGCCATATGTAAACTTACTCTTTCCTGTCCTCGTATGTAGAGGATTGTGCATCTGATACCTGCTCTGACTTTATGGTTTTTGTTTATTAAGTTTTTAAATATTCCTTTTTTAGTGCATTTGTACATCCATTTGAAGTTGTGCTACCGGCCATATTACAATTACTAACCCTGATGAGCTGAAATTTTATTCTTCATTGGTGTACAGCCACCTGGAACTTATGGGCTTATGCAATACCCTTTACCTTCAATGCAAAGCCAAGCTGCATTTCATAATATGATCCCACCTATTAATCAAGGAAATACACTACGTGGGGTCAGTTCTGATGTTTCTCCAGGCACGGCTTCTAGAAGTTTTAATACAGCACAATCCGGTGGCTTTATAGGTTCACCATATCCCACTTTGCCAGGTCTTCAGTATCGATTATCATATCCAACGACTGCCAGGCATCTGGGCTATTCCCACGTCTCAGGCCACCCGGTTAACATGAAGGCTAATCTGGCAACACCTTCAGGCCCTAGCACAACTTCTGGGGGACAGATCGAAGGTTAATGTGCTCTTCTAAATCTTCTCTTATTCTATGTATCTGTTTTCGTAAGGGCCTAAGTTCCGTGCCCGATTGCGACTGTTAGTCAAATTTTGGCACTCAGAAATACGGATTTTCTTTGTCCCCATGATGATTTGTTTCTTTGTTTGTTACCGGTATAGGCCCTTCTGGAGCAAATTTGTTTATATACCATATTCCACAAGAATATGGAGATGAGGAGCTCTCAAATGCTTTTCAGGGATTTGGCAGGGTTTTGAGTGCTAAAGTTTTCGTAGACAAAGCAACCGGTGTTAGCAAATGTTTTGGTAAAACCATCTAATATCCACTCTACACGTCTTTAAGTAAATTTTATCATACATCCTCTATAATATAATCGGCTTCTTTGTTTTTGTAGGTTTCGTAAGCTACGACTCACCTGCAGCTGCCCAGGCTGCCATCAGTGTGATGAATGGCTTCCAATTAGGTGGTAAGAAGTTGAAGGTCCAACTCAAGAAGGAAAACAAAGTAAACCTTGTTGATGGTGAGATCCGTCTGAGAAGGTAGCAAGTCACTGTGGCCTTCATTCTCTGCAACACGAGTGAATGGAAGATAACTGATTCTTGGCAATTTGCTCATTCTATCATGTTTTAGAAGTGCCAACTTTACCTGATTCATTCTTGAAATGGTACAAATGCTGTATTTTACTTTCAATTCTTTTGTCTTGTAATTGATGTACCATGGGAGTTTCATTAGACATTTAACAATTTAATTCATTCTTTTTTTCCTATCAGGAATGAACACTAGCAGGCTGGTGGTATTTGTGATGGTATTCATAATATTCTGTTTAGGATATCATGATTATATATATATATATATATATATATATATATATATATATATATATATATTTATAACATACACCTTTTGTAACATGATTTTTTTTTCAGATATCAATTTAATCTAATTTAAGATAATTTGACAGAAAAAAAAAATGTGTTTAAGTCGAGTTTTAGTTCCCATCTCTCTTCCCATCATTCGATAATGGGCAGCATTCACGAGCCCAAGCTGACTCGTGACCCGCTACCGTGACCGAGCTAACTTACCCCCTGTCGTTAACTCGGTACGTGCGTGACTTATGATTGGGCTCCATTGCTGTCTCCAAACTCAATGGCGGGTAGGCAGGTGAGTCACAACAAATATGCAGTACGTGCGTGCCTTTGTTCATCGTTCTCGCATACCGACAGCGCTTAGCGGACTGCAGCGGTAATCGAAGACTTTTTAATTGGAGAGAGAGAGAGAGAGAGATTCCCGCAGATTCATCGGGGATGATGTTTGAAGCTGCCTTCTTCCCATGGAATTCCCTGGTGAGCGCTGCCGAAGACAAAGCCTTGCCTTGCGCGCGCCACTAGACAGTAGTAACCCTACGGGAGGAGGACGATCTCTCCTGCTTGCTTGATACTGTCGGTCGGAATCAGGGCGACGGGGAGAGCATGGAGTACTTTTTGAAGAAGAACTTCGAGGTGGCGGCCAAGAACCCGTCGGAGGAGGCGCAGCGGCGGTGGCGGAGGGCCGTGGGGGCGGTGGTCAAGAACCGCCGCCGCAGGTTCCGCATGGTCCCCGATCTCGACAAGCGGTCCGAGGTCGAGACCAAGAAAAGGAAGATCCAGGTAAAAGCCCGAAACCCAAAAAAAAAAAAAGATCACCAACAACAGGATTTGAAAGCATAGTCGTCCACTATCGAATTCCCTCGTTTCGTCGTCTCTTTCCTCTGTTTTTTTTGTCAATCTATGCGGAATTTCTTGCACGAAGTTTCGGACGCAATTGACCTTTCTCGGCTTAAAATTTTGGTTCATTTTTTCCCCGATTAAATTCGAATATTTTCAGAGAGAGTTGAAACGGGATGGGTGGGATTGGAGTTCGATGCTCCACCTCTAGTCCCTTGCGCGCAAGTTAGCCTTCTGACCAGGGGATTTCTACCATGCGCTCAGTGGTCACTGCACCCTGTGCTGTGCCACCGGCGTCACAAAGCACCGTTTGAAGTTTCCACGCTTGGAAGCTTTCTTGAAACTTCATGGGTGACTTCAAAAGTCGCAACTTTCCGCGTTGCGTTAGCTGATTCCACTCTACCTTTTCCTTTGTCCATATGACCGGGTTTTATCGAGATGTAAAACCTGACCGATGAATAAGGAGCAAAAATACTTGAGATTAACACTTATTCCTTCGATTAAATGATGGATAGAGAGGTGTGTTTTGACTTATACGAATCATAAAACAGCATAAACTATCCAAAAAATAAAAATATATACATTTAGGAATGGTGGAAAAAACCTAATTTGGTTCAGAATGTTGGTTTAACCTGAACAATCCGGGATTTTGATTAGTAGTAGTTGACTTACCTACGGTGCATGTCACCTCAGGCCTTTTAGTTTTGGTGAGATGGGTTCCATGGGGACAAGGCCCTCCCAATTGGTAGACTTTCGGAAAGAGATATGTTTTCTGTGCCAGAAAAGAGTAAACCTGATCTTGCCATTTTTGCTACATTATGTGCAGAGGGTATCTTTGCTAGCTCTGTTTTGGATGTCGTAAGCCACTGCTTTCAACCATTAGTCATTATCATATTCAAGCAGGGCAGATCCATTAACGATGCTGATGTCCTTTGAACGAGGACAGATCAATTAATAATGAAAACATTCATTGAATGGAAGGGGTCCACTTCTGAGATGGGGTCACTAGGTATTAGCCGCTATACTGTTCTTATTATATCAGATAACAACAAAATTTTTATGGCCATGAGCATCTGTATGGTCATCACATGCAGTGCTTTGTTGTAGGTGCGTTTTCATGGCCAGAACAGACCTCAAATTTTGGCCGTGAAGAAAAAAGAAATGGGATTTTGTATTTCAAATATGTCTTGTAATTAAGTTTTGGCCGTCTTTATCGTGATAAAAATACTCATTATAGTTTGGAATTGCTGTTGTGGCGAGCTTCATCTTTAATTATTACTTTAGTACATTTGTATGGATTAGCTCAATAAAACTTTTTTTTCTGCATTTGAACTTGGAGGGAATTGATAAATGAGGGCCTTTTAAGAAAAATTAAGAAAAAAAATGTTGAGTTGACCATTCAAGGAGAAGAAAGCAAGACTTGTAACAGTCTCTTAATAAAGAACTACTTCGGTCAGCCTTTCACCTAATAAAGATGCTAACTTTCCAACTTGACTTTACCTTATTATGCAGTTCAACTTGTTTCCACTATATTTGACTCCCTTTCACTATTGTTAGCATGTCATTGTCATGTGAAAAAAGTATATTTTCAGAAGCAGACTGGTGCTCATGTTAATGTTACAACTTGTATGGTCTGCGATAATGATCTTTAATCCATGCAACGTATTTCGTACTGAGAACACAGTTTTAGACATTGCATGCACACATAGCAATTAAGTTTTACAGATTGTAAGATCTCATTAGCTTGTTATGCTGGTTTATCAAAACAGTTGCTTTGCTGTTTAGCAGTTGTTTGTTTGCAATTGACTTTGTAACTTTGTTACGTTGGTTGAAACACCATACGGTGAATGATGAGGAATAATGTACTTGTGGTTTGTTATCTGAACAGGAAAAAATTCGTGTTGCTCTTTATGTGCAAAAGGCTGCTCTACAATTTATTGATGGTATGAACTTCATCCACTGAAAATATAAAGTGCGGTTGTTTAAGTCTGACTATCAATTTCTTTTTAACCTAAATGCAGCTGGTGCAAAAACTGAACATCAACTTTCAGACGAGGTGAGAAAGGCTGGTTATTTTATAAACCCTGACGAATTGGCATCCATTGCACGAGGACATGATAAAAAGAGATTGAGGAACCATGGAGGAGTTAATGGGGTTGCAAGAGAAGTCTCTGTTTCACTTGATTATGGCATTAAAACAAGTGACTTATCTATCAGACAGGACATCTATGGCATCAACCAATATGTTGAGAAGCCTCCAAGAAGTTTCTGGATGTTTGTGTGGGATGCACTACATGATTTGACATTAATCATTCTTATGATATGTGCATTGATATCTATAGTAGTCGGCATTGCTACTGAAGGATGGCCAAAAGGTATGTATGATGGGCTGGGAATTATTCTTAGCATTTTCTTGGTAGTCGTAGTCACTTCAATCAGTGATTACAAGCAGTCATTACAATTCAGAGATTTGGAGAAAGAAAAGAAGAAAATCTTCATTCAAATAACCAGAGATGGCTACAGACAGAAGGTATCTATTTATGATATAGTGGTTGGAGATGTTGTTCATCTTTCAATTGGAGATCGAGTTCCAGCAGATGGGCTATATGTTTCTGGATATGCTTTGTTGATAGATGAATCAAGCTTGTCCGGAGAATCTGAGCCAGTATATGTTTCTCATGAAAAGCCTTTTCTGCTAGCAGGGACTAAAGTGCAAGATGGATCCGCCAGAATGCTGGTTACTTCTGTTGGAATGAAGACCGAGTGGGGGAAGTTAATGGAGACATTGAGTCAAGGTGGGGACGACGAAACACCTCTGCAGGTTAAGCTCAATGGTGTTGCGACAATAATTGGGAAGATTGGTTTAGCATTTGCAACACTGACATTTTTCGTCCTTTTAGGAAGGTTTATAGCTGAGAAGTTATTATCCCACACTGGCTTCAAATGGTTTCCAAATGATGCTTTGACAATAGTAAACTATTTTGCAGTTTTTGTTACTATAATTGTTGTTGCAGTTCCTGAAGGGCTACCTTTGGCTGTAACATTGAGTCTTGCCTTTGCGATGAAAAAACTTATGGATGAGAAGGCACTTGTGCGGCATTTATCAGCATGTGAGACAATGGGATCTGCTAACTGTATTTGCACTGATAAAACTGGCACGTTAACAACTAACCACATGATTGTTGATAAGATATGGATCTGTGAAGTATCCAAATCATTTAGGGGCAGTGAGACTGCTGCTTATCTGAAGTCTGTGATTTCTGAAAATGTTCTAGTAGTCCTTTTGCAATGTATATTTCTGAATAGTGGTTCAGAGGTGGTAAGAGGAAAAGATGGTAAAAACACAATCCTGGGTACCCCAACAGAAACAGCATTGTTAGAGTTTGGTTTGGAGTTAGAAGGACATGTAGATTCTCAGCATCAGGACTGCAAAAAATTGAAAGTTGAGCCTTTTAATTCAGTTAAAAAGAAAATGTCTGTCCTCATTCCACTACCTGGTGGAGGGACACGTGCTTTCTGCAAAGGTGCCTCTGAACTTATCCTGCAAACGTGTGACCAGATCATTGATCGTGATGGAAACACAATTTTTTTATCCAAAAAGAAAAAGGAGGATATGATGAATGTGATTAATAGTTTTGCCTGTGAAGCATTAAGAACACTTTGTTTGGCTTTTAAGGATATAAGTGAAGATGCAGATCTGGAAGAAATTCCTGCTTCTGGTTACACACTAATTGCTGTCTTTGGCATCAAAGATCCAGTGCGCCCAGGAGTCAAGGAAGCTGTCCAGACTTGTAAAGCTGCTGGTATCAAAGTGCGTATGGTTACTGGAGATAACATAAATACAGCTAAAGCCATAGCAAAAGAGTGTGGCATACTGACGGAGGATGGTTTGGCCATAGAAGGATCAGAATTTCGAAGCAGGAGTCCTGAAGAGATGAATGATCTAATACCAAAAATTCAGGTACCTTATGTTTATTGCAAAGATTATCCGGCAACATTAACCTACTCTCTCTTGCTTCTTGAATCATCAGACAACTTGTGATGAACCTTGAATATGCAACTTATATGTTGTGGCTCTGCTTTATTCTACTTTTTACTTGGCCATCTATAAAAACGTATGTCATTTATAGGTAATGGCCCGATCTTTGCCTTTAGACAAACATACTTTAGTGACAAACTTGAGGAAGATGTTTAATGAAGTTGTAGCAGTGACGGGTGATGGAACTAATGATGCTCCAGCACTACATGAGGCAGACATTGGTCTTGTAATGGGTATTGCTGGCACAGAGGTATAGTTTGCTTCCTTTTCTGAGGTACCTTTTCAAATAACACATAGCATCTATTACAAGAGCCCTTATTATGTTATATCGTCTTCTTGAGCCTATTGCAAATTTGTTATCCTTAATAATCTTGGATAACTTGTATGAATGTCGATGTTTTCGGATAATTTTACCATCTAATAAGACCGTGACCCCCATTTACATAGAACCATGCAAAGCAACTGGAGTTGCAATTTCTATTCACAGGATTGCCTGCAACAAAGAACCATGCAAAGCTTCTGGACTTGCAATTTTTTATTCACAGGATCGCCTGCAACAACAACAACATCAACATCCTTAACAATGCTTAGGACTAAACTAAGATCATCCTTTACAATTATACGGAATGCAGTAGAAAGTGGTTTACCTAATAATAAAAAGCCTTCGTATCAGAATGCAATTTCCAATTTTATGTCTTATTTTTTTATATAACGGTAAATATGTGAACAACAAAAGTAGTTTTTGGTTAGCATATGTGAAGGAAAGAAGTGGCAGGTGATCAACAAAGGTAGCTGAAGGTCATTATGATGTCATTTCTTTATGTACATGGGCAGACATAAACATGCCTAAAGAAATATTAAGTGAGACTCGTCTGGCTGAGAAACGAAAATCTGTAAACTGCTCTTGGCTTTTGCTCTGGTGCACGAGACTTGTCTGTCTTGTACGGGATCATGATTTCATGTTTCAACTCTCTAAATAGCTAGCTTTGATGCAATTATCTAAAAAAATGATCTTTTCCTTGTATGTCTTTAGCTCATAAATTTGGATTACATGTCATGTGCAGGTAGCTAAAGAGAGTGCTGATGTGATTGTGTTGGATGACAATTTTACATCTATAATTAATGTAGCAAAATGGGGTCGTGCAGTGTATATCAACATCCAAAAGTTTGTACAGTTTCAGCTAACAGTTAACGTGGTTGCTCTGATGCTTAACTTTGTTTCTGCATGCATCACAGGTACTCCTGATCTTTATTGATGGTAATTATGTCTTTTTTATTGTGTAGAGGACTGTTTTTTAAGTTACTCCGCATTTAAATTACACAACATTTAACTCTAGGTAATGCCCCTCTCACGGCTGTCCAGTTGCTTTGGGTCAACATGATTATGGACACGCTAGGTGCTCTGGCATTAGCAACAGAGCCCCCAAACGACAATATGATGGAAAGACCACCTGTTGGGCGGAATGAAAGCTTCATTACCAAAATCATGTGGAGAAATATAATTGGCCAGAGTATATATCAGCTGATTGTTCTAGGAGTTCTGATGTTTGTTGGGAAAAAACTTCTGAGAATCGAAGGTCCAGATTCTGACACCATTCTCAACACGTTTATATTCAACACATTCGTCTTCTGCCAGGTAATAGTTTCTATTTGGTTTCCAGTAGCTTTTGTCTGGCTAGTAAGGTATAAAGCAGAAATAGTGTCCAGTTCTTGGGACCAAATTTAGCTTAATACGTTTATGCTTTGACTCCTGCAATATAGTTTGCTCATGAGATGGATAGAGAAGAAAATTTTATCAAGTAAATATCTTTCAACTTATACCTCAAGATGATACAACACCATTTATTTTTCAGACTAACATCAACCATAGCCCTTAACCCTAATACATGATCATGTCCTCATGAACAATTAAGCCAAAATAGTGTGGTGGCTTAGACCGAGATAACCAGATGGCAAAGATTACAGCAATAGGCTGTGCTTAGATACAGGCCACCTTACATACAAGGTCACTTCAATTGACAGACTTACAATGGATCTTGATGAGATTAAAAGAGTTTTAAAATGGGTGCTTGGATTCTACTTTTTGTGTGGTTTTCCTAATGACAACTTAAGTAGCTCCTTGATTCCAAGATAAGAAAAAGTAACCATTGGAAGTTTCCCAACTTTTCAACAAAAAGTCAAGTTGAAGTTCAAGATATAAATGTAAAATCCCATAAGACAATAGTAGGATGGCAATGAGTCATTTCCTGTACATGCCACATAAAACTTATGGTGTAGGCAACTTGGCCTTAATATAACCATTCAGCTACGAGGTGGTTTAGAATTAGAAGAGAAACAAGCACTTTTATATTGTTGATCCAAACGACCAGATTTCGTATGTGTTGTGCAAGATTTTACTGCAGGATGATGGTAAATATTATCAAATGATGCTTAACATATAGGTTGAGCTTGATTTTGAGAATAAGATAACCAGTGATTGTTCATTCTGATTGATTACTTTCCTCTTCATTCTGCTTGATAATTGTGAATAATTTTCGACTGCACAGGTCTTCAATGAAATAAACAGCCTTGAAATGGAGAGGATCAATGTGCTCCGTGGGATACTCAGCAACTGGATCTTTGTGACCATCTTGGCATCCACGGTGGCATTCCAAGTGATCATAGTGGAGTTCCTCGGAACCTTTGCAAGCACAGTGCCATTAGGCTGGCAATTATGGTTGCTCAGCCTACTGATTGGTTCCATCAGCTTGATTGTTGCGGTAATCTTAAAGTGCATTCCTGTCGAATCAAACCGCGTTCATGGCCAGAACGGCTATGAGGCACTTCCTGGCGGTCCAGAAGCAGTATAAGCAAGAAGGTATATATATATATATATATATATATATATATATATATATATATATATATATATATATATAT